TGGATCTTGGCTGAAAGCAGGGAATACCAGAGGAATGTCTATCTGTGTTTCATTGACTATGCAAAGGCATTTGACTGTGTAGATCATAACAAACCTACTCCTGGTTTTGAAATTCTAGTGGGACAGAGTTAAGGTCAAATGTTGGTTCCCATGGATTTGACTTAATTTTCCTCAACTTGAGCTTGAATTTGCATATGAGTAGTTGGTGGTCTGTCCCACAATCAGCACCTGGACTGGTTTTCTATCAAAGATAGATAATTATTAAATAAAACTGTACCTTCTGCATTTCTGGTACTCCTTGCTTTCAGCCAAGATCCATCTAACATTAGCTACAATATCCCTAGTACCACAGCCCGGTCTAAACCCAGCCTGCACTTCTGGCAGTTCTTTGTTGATGTGCTGTTCCAGTAATTTTTAAATAATATTTAGCAAAATCTTGCTTGCATGTGATATTAATGATATTGTTCGATGATTTCCACAGTCTTTTGGGTCACCCTTCTTTGGGATGGGAACAAATATAGATTTCTTCCAGTCAGTTGACCAAGTGGTTGTTCTCCAGATTTCTTGGCACAACTTAGTGAGCATATCTAGGACAGCATCTTTGGAGAGCTGGGCAATGACTAGGGAGGACAGAAGGAGAATTGATGCCTTGAGCTGTGGTGCTGGAGAAGAGTATTGAATATACCATGGACTGCTAGGAAAACAAACAGGTTTATCCTGGAGAAGGTGAAGTCCAGCTCCTCCTTGGAGGCAAGAATTGTGAAGCTTTGGCTGACAAACTTTGAACATGCTGTAAGGAGGGACCAGTCCTTGGAGAGGGACGTCATGCTTGAGAAGGTAGAGAGATAGTGCAGAAGAGGAAGACCCTTGATGAAATGGATTGATTTAGTGACTGGGATACTGGGGGTAGGTGTGTTAGAGACGGTGAGATTGGCACAGGACAGAGCAGAGTTTAGGGCTGTTGTACATAGGTCACTATGAGTCGCAGGCAACTTGACGGCACATAACAACAACAACAACAACAACAACAACAACAACAACTCTCTGCATTTCTGTGTCTAAATAAAGAAGCAAATGCAATGAAAACTGTGAGAGGTAGAACTCACTGAGCCTCTCTCATTCTTCCAAGACTCAGTTTTGTCTTTCACCTTTCACAGGGCACCGTCCCACTTCTCTGTCACTCTCTGTTTTCCAGGGAACAGCTGACTCTTTCTTCCCTGATCATTTTCTGCCTTCTACAAGTTCTAGCTTTAACATCTTTTACTGTAACAATATTTTCTTACTTCAATTTCAATATGTGATATTAACATTTTTCTTAAAGATGATGTATATGTAAGTTACTTTTTTTTCTCAAAATGCTTCTGTGTTCATTATTTTCTCCACAAGCTCTGTTCACTAATTAGCCCTAAAAGAGTCCATTAAGCTACAAAAACAACAAGACTCAGTGATACTAATCTATCTATTTCAACAGTATGTCTAAGTCAATTTATAACTCTCTTTTAACAATTAAACACATGAAGCTAATATGCCGCATACCTGTTCTTTCTAACCTCCAGAAAGCACACAGCACACTACCAGACATATAGTAGATGTTTAAAAATAACTTTCTAAATTAAACTATTACCCATACCGCCGTAAGTTGCAGCCCTAAGGGAAGCGAGGTGTGAAAGCACACTTTGAAATGACCGGGCTCAGCTGGACAGATGAAAGGCTGGGACACAGCATCTCAGAGGCTTGATCCATCTGCCAGCAGTCACTCCTGTGAAGAGGCTTCTGTTTCTTGTCAGCCAACAATAGGAAGTGTGGCAGGATTTAGTAGCTGCTAAAGTACCAAAGGAAACACAGAGCACACACCATTCCTGTCAAGGCAGCAAGGAGACCCTTCCCTGCCTGCCCGTCCGGTACGCATGTCCATTCTCCATGATCAAGGAGTGACACAGTGACACAGTGACGCACTGATGCGCTTGAGCAATATCGAGATGGTGATGGCATGCAGGCCAGGGCAAGGTTGTGTAAGGTAAGGGACCTGCTGTGTCTGACTTGACAACACCTATAGCGGTTATGCTCAGATACCTCACTACTAAGTCAGAGGAGAAAATACACCTACTCAGTCAGGAGCTGCACAAACTCAATGATAAGATAAATCACTTATATCTGATTCACAAAAGCCAACAACAGATTGAGAAAATGGACTTACTTGCTTTATTCAAATCTCAAGCACTTCAACATCTCAGGTGCTTCAATATCCAGACAAAGTGGGCTTAAATGATACTATTTCAACTTTGAACTTCACACTGTACAGACCCATTGTCAACTAGAAAGACAGAATGTCATCCTTTAGTTAACCTCAGGTCAATTGAGACACAGCTTGTCATTGCTTTTAGGATTTGGAGTTTGACAAAACGTAAACTCAATAACTATATAATTTGAATCTATGAGACATACAGTGCTTCTTTAAAATGAAACAAAATAAACAAAACAAAACAACCAAACAAAATAAACAAAACAAAACAAGCAAACAAAATAAAACAACCTTTCACAAATGAGGTCACCTGGTAGCTAACTAACTAATTGATTAAAAAAACCAAAACTCATACATAAATATTGTGCTCCTTAAAAAGAAAAAAATCCCCCCAACATGATACGTGTTCCACAATGACAGTAAAATAGGGAGATTGTCAGGAGGTAGAGAAGCTAAATTAACGGGAATAGAACAACCAGATGAGAAAGAAAGAGAATGTTCCTGAGCCGTGAGAGAAGTTTTTCTGTGGGGACTTTCTTTTTTTTTTTTTTATGCGTGTACCATCAAATTGGATCTGACTGGTACAGGAGGCGACTGTTCCTCCTTCTTCAGCAGAGCATCTGGTGGATTTGAACCGTGCACTTCTGGGATAAGGGGGACTTTCAACCAAAGCAAGATGAAATGTTATTAGGGGGGAAAAGTGAAGCAACTTTGAGACCAGCTCCTTTGTTAAACATTTAACATGCCCTGTTCTCATTTGGGGGGTGGGGGTTTGTGCTGGCAGAGAGTACCATACTCTAATGTGGAACCACCAGGGGAAATCTAAATGAAGTCCTGTTTCCCCAAACAGAATCCGAGCTTGAGAGCACTCAGATTAGTGAGGGCTACTCCCTCCTGCAGACCGCTGCATCGAGCCAGGTGAGTTACAGGCTCTGGAAAGTTATTCAGTGAGTTTTCGAAGTACCCCATTCTTCAAATTCCAAATTTGAAATTCCAAATCCCATACCTTCCTTTTCCTGCTGAGGAAAGAACTCACAAGATAATAGAAATAAGATATAAAAGTTTGTTCTTGCTTTTTACACCTAGTTCATTTGTAAAATTTCTAAAAATCAATGTTTTCAATTTAGAAGGTGAGATAACAAAACAGAACACCAAAAATGTAGGAGAAAACAGGTAAATCAGGACGCGAACAGTTCTTGAACTGAAATACCGACCTTAGCTTCCCTGTGTCTTTATTGAAAATTGCCGCAGGGGGAGCAAATCACCAAGAGAATTCAATGCAAATGAAGCTAAGCTCTTTCTATTGGAAACCTTATGCTTGGTTCAGGAGGGAGGGGTTAGTGAATACAATACAAGAATGCTGTGCTTAAGGTTTGCCTTAGTGTCTACCCCAGTAAACATGTAATGACTGCCCTCCTTCAGGTGAATTCCAGCTTGTATCCGCCTCCCTCATAACCTGAAGCAGCATTTGGTTTATTCCAAATATTTACTACGAAATGTGGCTTCCCATAGGGATGAGGTACAAAGACATTTCCTTTAAGAGACAGTGTGTTCACTCAGCTGTTAGGCACTTGCTGAAAAGGATGGATTTGTGTCTCATGAAGAATAAGCAGAAGTTATGATGATCTGTGTCTTTGGGTAAGGTGACCTGGCGTTTGGGTAACCTAAAGTCACCTGAGTAGAAACAAACCAAGAAACCAGGTGTCATCAGCTGAGGTTAGATGGCAGTCTTTCTGTCCTCTGATTTGTGGTTGTTAGGTGCTATGGAGTTGAGTACTTGGGGAAGCACCTGCTGCAGAAGATCAATAACAGAGCCTTCAGTACTAACTGCATCTCATCCTCCAGCAGAGGTAATTATGAGGAGACTCTGGCAAGCTCCAGTTCCCTGATTTCTTTTCTTTTACCCTCACATTATTGTTCTGATTTGGGCTCAAAGAGTTCTTGTCTATAATCCTAATGTTCTGTGCTTTCCTGGCACATTTCTATTTATTTGCTCACCAAATATTACAACAATAGAGTTGTCATCTATTTAATGACACTCTAGAGCAGGAGTGGCCTCCACTTCCTAAATAACATGCCTCTGGAAACTCTATGAACTTTGATAAATGTCGACAGTTGTAGAGGGGCTTTAGGCCTTTTGTTCATAGGGTCACTATGAGTCATGCTCGACTTGAAGGCAATTAACAAGAACTGCAACAGATCAATGAAGCACTGCATGGTTCAGAATCAGGAACGAAGTGCACCAGGCATGCATCCTGTTTCCACATATTTTCAATCTCTATGCAGGCAAGGATTCTGGGGCTTCGTCTGACATACTTTGGACATGTTGCAAGAAGAGATAGGTCTTTGGAGAGGGACATCATGCTGGGTAGAGTAGAAGGACAGCGCAGGAGGGGAAGACCCTTTATGAGGTGGATTGATCCAGCGACTGGGGTAATCCGGATGGGTGTGTCAGAGGAGATGCAATTGGCACAGAATAGAGCAGGGTTTAGGGCTGTTGTACATAGGGTCTCTATGAGTCGCAAACGACTTGATGGCACATAACAACAACAACATGCAGAACAGATCAGAGGCTGGACTTTATGAGGAAGAATGTGACATTAGCCTTGTTGACTCATCAACAACTTGTACTATGCAGACAACACAACCTTGCTTGCTGAAGCTGAGGAGAACCCGAAATGTTTGCTGGAGAAGGTCAAAGACTGTAGTCATCAATATAGACTGAAGCTCAACATCGACAAGACAAAGATTCTCACTGTTGGACCAACTGGCAGCACCACGGTAGATGGAGAAAAGATTGAAGTTATTAACATTTTCAGATTGCTTGGCTCCCACTCAATACTCTTGGTTCCAAAAGTCAGGAAATCAAGAGATGAATTACAGTAGGGAAATCTACTGTCAGAGAACTCTCCAAAAAGCTAAAGAGCAATGATTTCAGTCTGAAGAGTAAGGTGCACCTGACTCAGTGCATGGTCTTTGCAGTTAATTGCTCTGCATCAGAAAGCTGAACTAATGCCGGCAGAAGAATCAATTCCTTTGAGTTGTGGTGCTAGAGAAGAGTATTGACTGACACCATTTCTTGCCAGTACTCTGGAGAGTAAATCTTCTCATTCGAAATGGAGTTAGAATTCAACAGGGACTATAAAAATATTTCTAAATTTCACAATATAAAATGGATTGCAAATTTGAGTACTTTTTTTAAGGGACTCTGGTGTCATAATGTGCTGAGAACTAAAAGGTGAGAGGTTCAAATCTGCCAGCTCTCCGGGGAGAAAGGTGAGCAGGCTGCTCCCATTCAGAATGACCGCCTTGGGTACCACAGAGAGTCACCTTGACCAGCCAGCCAGAATCCCCATACAGTGTGAATCCCAAGGAGTAATCACATCTGCTGGACTCGGTGTGCAGAGGCCACCACATCGCTTCAGGGGGCAGCAGAGTGAAAGAGAGAGCAGCTTAGGACTCAAAGCCAGTGTTTTCATTTAACACCTGAAACTCTGTGTGGCCTTACATACTTGGTGTTTAACCTTCTTGTCCATTACTCTCTTTACGGAACAGTAGTTCCTACCTCTGAGACTACTGTAACTTCACCTTGTAATAAAGCCAAACTCACTGTCATAGAGAGAGTTAATTCAGAGTGGCCCTCAGTTGGTCTCTGATACCACAGATCTTTACTGGAGGAGATACCCATTTCTCTTGCCCACCTTTCAGTCAACAGTACAACGTGCTATGCACTATGACACCAGGTTTCCTCAGTACTATATTAAGAATGAAATAAGTTAAATTGTATAAAACTGAAGGCTGATATGTAATATTTCTGTGACTTAAGTTATTAAAGCTGGTTTTGGCTGGCTCCTCCCAGGCTCTTGGGAAGCTCTCCTTGCCAGAAGGAAGGAGCATGGTGGTGGGAGTGCAGGAATCATGGCAAGCTTTTGGAGTCGACTGCTTTTCCTGGAATGTGTTTGACATGCAGGTTTGCTCTGTCCCTGGAGTGAGGCTAGCCAGCCTGGGCCTAGGGTTTGAACCAGGAGGTGGCCTTAAGCCTCCTGTCAAACATTCTTCTAGGTGGTATAGCACTGGTCTGTGTGTTGCTGTACAGAGGTAACTCGTGGTTGCTGTGATGCTGAAGCCTGTGACAGTGATGTGTCAATCGTGGTAATGGGCACCCATGGTGGACAGTGTTGGCTGGAGCTTCCCAACTAAATCAAGCCTGGAAGCAGGAGCGGCATCCACTTCCGAAATGGCTTACCTCCGGAAACTCTATGTACGAACAGTGCTCAGGCTGTTCGTTCATAGGGTCGCTATGAGTCGTCTACGACTCGATGGCATTAAACAACAACAACAACAAGTTATTAAAATCATGGTGCTGTTATTTTCAGGTATCACTGAGATAAGAATAACCCACTGTGTCCCAGTGAACCACAGACCTGAAGCCTGCCCCGTGCCATCGTCACCAGCTCTGATACGCTGGAGTCCATTGCTGCAGTCACTGTGTCAGTCCATCTGAGAATCTTCCTCTCCTTCACTGTCCCTTCCCCTTTCCAAGTACTATGTCCCTTTCTAAGGAATAGCCTCTCCTAGCAACATGATAAAGTTTATGAGACAAAGCTTCACCATATTTACCTCCAAGGAGCACTTAGGCTACACTTTCTCAAAAACGTATTTGTTTGTTCTGTTGGCTGTCCATAGGATATTCAGTACTCTTGTCCAACATCATAATTCAAAGGCATCGATTATTCCTTGGTCATCCTTATTCATTGTCCAACTCTCAGACACATAGTGATTAACAAGACCATGGCCTAAATCAGGCACACCTTAGTCTTCAAAATGACTTCGTTGCTCTTCAGTAATTTGGAGAAGTCCCTGACAATACACTTCCCCACTGCACTGTGTCTTTTGATCTTCTGACTACTGATACCAAGTATTGATTGTGGATTCAAACAGAAAGAATCACGGACAGTTTCTATGTTTTCTCCAACTATCATGACGTTGCTCATGGGTCCAGTGGTGAGGATTCTCGTTTTCTTGATGCTGAAATGTAATCTATATGAAAGGGCGTATTCTTTGATCTTCTGCACCAATTATTTCCTGTCCTTCTCAGTTTCAACGAGTAAGGTTGTAATATTAGCATAATGCAGGTCGTTGATGAGTCTTCTTCCAATAGAGTTCAGTTATTCAAATGATTTGCTCATTATACAGATTGAATAGTTCTGGAGAAAGGATGCAACCCTGTTGCACACCTTTCCTGATTTTAAACCATGAGTGTTCCCTTGTTCTATTCGGACAACAGCTTCTTTGTGTAGGTATAGGTTTCCAGGAGCAAAATTAAGTATTCTGAGATTCCCCTTCTTCTCAATGTTAGTCATTATTTGCTATTATCCACACAGTCAAATATCTTTGCACAGTTAAAACACAAATAGACATTGTTCTGGTATTCTCTGCTTTTAGCCAGGATCCATCTGACATCAGCAATGATATCCCTGGTCCAGGGCCTCTTCTAAACCTTGCTTGAACTTCTGGCTGTTCTCTGCCAATGTACTTTTCTAGCCTTTTTTGGATATCCTTCAGCCATATTTTCCTTGCATGTGATATTAATGATAGTTTGATAATTTCCACACTCTGTTGGATCACCCTTTTTGGAAATGGGAACAAATGTGGATCTCTTCCAGTCAGTCTTCCAAACAGCTGTTCTCCAAATTTCCTGACATGATTGGTGAGCCCATCGGGGGCTGCACAAGTTAGTTAAATGATGTCAATTGGTATCCTATTGATTCCTAGGGCCTTATTTTTTTTTTTCTAGTACCTTCCAAGGAGCTTGGACTTTTTCTTTCATTGCCATTGGCTCCTGTTCGTGTGTAATTCCTGACTATTTCAATGTCAGCCAGTTATTTTTGGTATGGTTCTTCTGTGTATTCTTTCCT